TTAATCGACTTCAGTAAATTGTATCTATCTAATGAAAGTAAGGGATTACAAATAATATTAAATAAGACATCAAAATATAAAAAGTAATTGTTATTTCGCTTGAGAAACAAAGAGAAAATGCGGATTCTTTTTGTCCATTTTATTATGACTGCATTCGAAACTGTCCACGTGTGCTCAGCAACTCATTTTCAGCAAGGTGTGGATCTATATCCGCCTCAAAATATGTTTATTTATTAAGACGCGGATGCAATAACTTTTCCTTCTTTCAAGGAAACATTTTTTTAAAAGCAATTCACCCCAAGCAAGGCGGAAATGCTACTAGCACGCAAGGGGTTACAGAGGATTGAGAACAAGAGTAAAGAAGCATGTTTGAGGAAATGATACAGAGAAGGACGTGTAACAAGCTCAGGGTGTCAAATGTCGATTGACATTACACTTGAATATTTGAAGATTATAGTCGTCGGGGAAGCAAGTAAAGAGAAGGGAGTTCCACAGACGAGAAGTGCGAGAGAAGAAGCTGTTTGAGTAGAAGAGACGGTTACATTTAACCGTTTTGACAGTGAAAGGGTGGGACCGAGATGCCAGCCTGGCAGCTCGCTTAAATTCATGCAGTCTGGGAACCAGCAAAAGTAGCTTCTCGGAACAGTTGCCATGAAAATACTTGTAGAAAAGACAGAGGGAACCACGGCACGTGGCGATTGTAGACTAGATGCCAGATCAGGACCTATCATATTGTATCTGGATTTTGTCGAGGACCTCGAGACATATAGCGGGAGCACTAATCCATATATGACAGCAATATTCCATGCAAATACGGATGGTTGATTTATAGATTTGAAGGATTGACTTAGGCGAGAAAAACTTTCTGGCACGACACAGAGAATCAACTTTGCTTGCGGCAGATGAAGCTATTGATTCAAACTATTTATTTCCCCTCATGTCAGTGAACATCGCAAGACCAAGGAGGCGTAACGAGGAGCTCTCGAGGAGTTGTGAATCAGCCATTCTGATGGGAGGCAGGGAGGGTTCTCTGTGGTGGGTAAAGTAGGGCAGTTTCGTTTTGGAGGCATTAAGGTTTACAAGCCATTTTCTGTCCCAGTCAACCATAGATTAGAGGTCCTTTTCAAGATCAGTAGCCAGGTTTCTTTTGTCAACGATACCAGATTTATTATTGAGGCAGGAGTAAATAGTGGTGTCGTCCGCGTAGATGACTACTTGGGAACTGATGACATCAGGAGGGACATTGATGAAGATCAGGAACAGTGTAGGGCCCAAGATAGAGCCTTGAGGAACACCAGCGTTCGTGATAAAGGAACCGGAGGAGAACCCGTTTAGGTCGACTTTCATTTCACGGTTTGACAGGAATGATTGTATTAAGCCAAGTAATCGTCCTGTAATACCGTATCTCTGAAGCTTACGAAAAAGGGCAGCAAATACTTTAGAGATGTCTAGAGCCATGGCTCGAGCTTCACCATTATTGTTGAGTTTCTGGTATGCAAATTTAGTTATGGCCGTGAGCACTTCAGCGGTAGATCGGGCGGAAACCATATTGCTTGTCGGAGAGCAGATCATGTGAAGTAAGGTGCTTAACCACTTCGTCATCGATTAAAGCCTCGAAGATTTAACGAAGAGTGGTAGGACGGGTCAGAAGGGTCACCAGAGTTCTTAAAATCAAGTACAACAGATCAGGACTTCCAACAGGCTGGAAAGCAAAAGTTGGTGAGCAATAGTTGTACAGTTTAGAGAGGACAGAAACCAATTCAGGAGCACATTTCTTCAGGACAATGGCCGGTATCCCGTCCTCGCCACTGTTCTTACGGGAGTCTAATTTAAAGATGATGTCTAATACCATCGTTGGGTTTATGCACATCTCACTCAGTAGACCCTCGGTTATTGAGGGAAAATCTGGTTTTGGTACACCAGATGAGTCTAGCGTTGAATTGGATGAGAATTTACGAGCAAAATATTTAGCCTTGTCAGCTGAGAAGTTCAGGATTTCAAATTGGTTGAATAAAGGGGGTATTGTGGGTTTGCTGTTGTTCAGGACGCTTTTGTAGAGCCGCCAATAAACTTTTGAACCAAACTTGCGAGACGCAATACGTTGTTTCATTCTTTCGGCAAAGATTAACTTCGCTTTATTGAGGACACGCTTGCACTCGTTACGGCAGTGACAAAAAGACATCTGTTGCAATCAGACATGTCTCTACGGTACAGACGGAAGTAGGGATTCCTGTGGGCATTAGCTGCTGAGCAAGCAGCTGTGAACCAAGAGGATAAACTCGATTTCACTTTATATTTTCTTGCAGGGATGAAAGCCTGGATTCCAGCTTTTACTCAGGATGAGAACTCCATCGCACATTTTTGGACGGGAAGGTTAAAAACAGTATTACAGGGGACATCGCAAAGGAAATCATAGAACGAATCCCAATCTGCTCGTTGATAATAGAAAGATGTTCTGTTGGTAGACAATTTCCTTATAGACAGATACAAGTGGTTATATTATTTCCTAAGATGTATAGAAGTCTAACGTTCAACTTTCCTAAGAAGTAAATCGAAACGGTAGGGAGGTAATTTAACATAATGCTAACCAGTTATATACTCGTTCAGGTTCTTACATAAAATTTTGTAGTTGATAAATAAAAAGCTCCTTTAATGAACTAGTTGAAAAAAAAAACAGATCAAAAATACATAACTATTTTGGCAAATTAATATACAACCGTTAAATAAAGAGCAGCCATATACGATGTTAATAATACGAACTAATCACTGTAAGATGTTAATAATATTAACTAAACAACAATACAAAGCTATACTAAATCAAAATAAATCTTTAAAATAGAATAGTAAGCCATATAAGGAGCATTGCGGTTCATTTACTGATTATTACTATAAGAAAAAGTATTATCAAATTCAGAATTTAAACATATTGTAAAGTAAAAGGTAAACTATGCCGATAATTTACAGTCAATTCATTTCTTTGGTTTAATAATGAGTTTTTATCAGAAAATCTGATAATTTCTAATCATTCATGGAAGCATAGAAAACCGGTTCATTTAAAGATCTACATGTTCTAGCGTTTTTTTTTTTAATTTTCTTTTTTATCTTAGGAGATTTATTAGCTTCTTTTAAATTCAAAAGTATTTAGAAAGAGATGTACTATTTTTATAAGTATTATTGGTGAAGGATATGATATGTTGATATCACCTAATCTTAAAATAATTCTTAGTACTACCAATATAAACTTTTTTAACTTCCAGATTCTCTATTGTAAAAATAGTACTTAGATAAACAAGAAAGTTGGTTAGACATTGCTTTCGTAATGGGCATTCGTTAAAATTCTTGCAATTACATTGGTTAATATTATGAAAGGTATTTATCTTGGAATATCAGAGTGATCATCAGAGTTTTTAACCCATGTTCATTGTTGTTAATGAGAACAGATCTTCTACAGTTCATTATTATATTTAGATCTTCACTGAAAATATTAGAGTATTCCTTGGCAAGTTCAAAAGCTAGGGTAAAAAGATCCTTGGAAATGGAGGGGTAAAAATCCACGATATCAAATTGGATAAAAGAGCAGCTCCCGTTGTTGTTAATTCCTTTGAACCAATCAACTACATATGCGGCTCCAATCCACTGTAAAAGTCCAAGACGTCTTATATATAAACAGGTTTTTTAAATAATTTAATTCGGTTAGCTACAATTTTTTCAATCCTCTCAGGAGGATAGGAAAAACGTAAGACACGCTGCAAGAGCCACTCCGTTTAGCAAGGCTCGTCCCTTAATCGAGACGTCATCTCGCCAATTCTCCGAATGAACGCCATCAAAAGAGAGCCAATAACCCCCAGAAGTCTCCACATCTACAGGAGTAAAAAAAAATCTATCAGCAAGAGAAGAATATTTAATTAATTTTTTATCTCTGCGTCCGGGGCGACGGACCCCGGATCAACCGCAGACCTGATCAAATTATCGGTCGAAAATGTATCCGCACAAGTTTCATCCAAAATCAACGACTTCCCTATTTTAAAAGGAAAAATGGTAACGCCATCCGGCCGCTTTCCATCACCACGGTCGAGGTCTACGGGTTCGATTTGGGAAGGGAACCCAGCTGCATCCAGACCTGTTCTCATGATGTCGTTTATTGCTGCATGCCGTGAAAAGCGACACTACGACGACAGGATGCAAATCAAACTCGTCAGTGGAAGCTCTACATCTGCATCTGTGACGCTCACATAATTTGAGTCCAAGGCTGATCGCGACTCCGACCCGAGTGCACTCATCATCTAGAAGGCTACCGGTAGATGAAGAGGGTACTGCGTTGAGCCAGGCGCCACAACTCGGTTGTGAAGCAAATAGTACACAGGCGAGGCGATGCTGATCCAGAGAGAGCCTCGCATTTTATTTTATCCTAGTTTTTTTGTTTTGATGTGTCTAGTGGGATAGAAAGTAATTCTTGGGCCCAAACGCTGCAATCTTGTTCGAAAGAACTACCTGAGAAACACTGAGACGATCGACCGAGTATCTCATCAATTAATTCGCGACTAGAAGAAAGTGAAGGAAGATATGCTGTAAGGGCCAAATCTACCCTGATCGAAGGCCCAGATCTCCGAAACTCAAAGGGAGCTTTGCCTGCCTCCAGCTTGTGTCGTCGAAATTAACGTTGCAAATTAACTCCGCACATCTCTTAATTGTGATATCTATCTCATTTAAGAAATGTTTGAGGTAGCAAGAAGCACATCGGGGAGTGTAGAGGAACTTCGGTAGCGAAAAACTGTTCTTCAAGAGGAAGAGGGCTCAGTGTGCATCAATTAATTGCAATTTCTCAGCCATTTCTGTTAGAATGACATACTTAGTATCCAAACATTCTCGAATAGCTATTGGAAAGACTGGAGAACCAAGAATGTGTAATTCCTCCTTAGGTGTTATTTTTATATCCTCAAGGATGAGTCTGATATCCCGGATAGAACTCTCTCGATCATCTGCACTATAATTCAAGTTTATTATCTCTGACTTGGACGAGTTAATCTCAAGTCCAAACAGAGATAAAGCAGGAATAACTTGTCAGCAGCTACGGCCTCGACGGATCCTTCCAGCGTTGCATCGTCAAGATACCATATATTGAAAGGAGAGGCGATGGAACGATCTACCCCGTCAACAGGCATCGCAAATAGTAGCGAACCAAGTGGATCACCTTGCTGGATTCCGGTAGCAGAATAGATAATATTATCGGAGGCGATCAACATACTTGGATGACTATACGAAAGATGAGCCAGTCTAAATATGGAAGGAGTCCGTTCATGGCAAACTTCCAGGATATGGCCTCTTCTGATGCTATTGAAAGCGTTTTTCATATCCAATTTTAATAAGATACGGGGGGAAACAGGTGATGTATTCTCGAAAAATGATCTTGTGGCATGAACCATGGCTTCACATCTGCCCTGTATGCCTATCCTGAGCTGGACAGGTCGCAATTCATGCCCTATCTCCTTCACAACAACTCTACAAGCAATTTTTGCCGCAAGACGACGAAAAATGTTACCAACAGTCTTTTTTTTTTCTTTTTTTTTTAACCATTAAGTTGGCTGAAAATATTAAGTCGCGAGCATGTTGGGGTATCTCAGCTCGGAGAAGGGTATTAATAAGAGCTGTTATGGACCTTTTCAAATGTTCACCAGCTTCGGCAGTGTGGGCAGAAATTAAGTCCTGATGTTACCAGGTCGAATGCCGTTCACACCTCCACTGCTGCTTTCCTTTGAGATTTCAATATTTGAATCATTGTTTTTCATCTGAACAAATCTGACATCTGATGATGGCGCAGGGTGTTTCCGACGGAGAGCTGTGAGAACGTTTGGTGTAGTAGCTAGTATAGTATCGGATGAGGCCAATACTATAACTGCAGCTGAGACATCACCCTCGATCAACTTAGCATTGAAGAGGGCACGGAGTCTCTTAGAATCGTCGACTGTAGATGAAGGATGAAATCTTTTAGGATTAGAAAGATTAGAAAATTCGGTGGCATTTATTTTAGACGAATTGAATAAAGAAATGTTATTTTTCATAATAAATGAGACAGATGATATAGGGTCCTTATTGTAAGGAATGCCGAGCACAAGTGTTGCGAAAGAGAAAAGGTGATCCCAGTTAAGCAAGCTGTTCCAGTTAAGTGCCTGGTCTATGGCAGTAGCCAAGACATCGGCTGCCGGGATTCTGATAGATTTAGGGATTTTTAAAGGTACCTTCCGAAATTGCCTGAGGAGTGAGGTTGACCTCAAAACTTCACTGGCATCTATTTGGGTCAGTTCATTACGTTGATGGTTCAAACTATCTTGTAGAGCCAAGAGAGACAGACAATGTGAACAACCAGAGACGCTGAAGCACTTCTAGTCAATCTCACGCAAGATAAATGAAAAGACCGTTGACAATTTGAACAGCTTCTGATTCTTTTACGCTTATTAATGCTGCCACAAGAAAAGCAACGATCAGATTCCAGCAAAGAAGAAGGAAGAGACATTTTTTTCTTCGTTTCTTTTTCCTAAAATTAATGTAAAACTTTTTTTTTTGTTAATTCTTGTAATCTCCGCTTGACATTAATTTCATTTTTTCCCTTGAAATCAAATCTTCGAAAAAATACTGTCTTGAATTACAAATCCTTTAAAATAATGGTTAAAGTTTCCAACTATTAATTCAATAATGATTATTCTATTTACTATTCAAATTCGGATTTAACTTACTTAATATTTAATCCGATATTTTTACATTCTTAAAAATCCGTTGAAATCAGCAGAGCTTTAAAAACACGTCTTCTCTCTTCGAATTCCAATTTGGAAATCCGTTATTGATAAGTTTGTTAAACGTTATTTAACTCTTTAAAAAAAAGCGTGCAAGAGAATGAATTCTCGTGCGCTCTCTTGAGGAAATTTTTAATAACACTTATTTTATACCTAAGTGGGCTTTCACTAGAGAAATTAAGATGGCAAGAGTCTTTACTAGTGGGATCTTTTTATAAACTGAAATTTTAAATGTATTATTACTAAAATCAACAAGAACATCTAAGATTGGATTTTTTTTTCGCTGAGTTTATATGTAAAAATTGAGAACGGAATTTTGTTGAAATGTAGTTTTCACAATGTCAATTTCCTTTTTGTTATCAGCTAAAATAAATAATCGTCTACATAACGAACATATATTTTGGGTTTAATAACTTTAGTAAAAACCTTGTTTTCATCGTAGGACATATAATAATTGGAGAAGCACGACCCGAGAGGGCTTCCTATACTTACTCCATCAGTTTATGGATAAATAGTACCATTCTGGCTATAAAAAGGAACTCTAGTGGTGCAAGCGAGAAATAGTTTTCTTAAAATATTGGGTTGGATTGATGAAGGTGGAATTAAATTATTTTTATACACAGAATTAAGGATAATATCAATAGTCTCTGTAACAGAAACGTTAGTAAATGAATTGTGTACGTCCCACGATGCAAGAATGCCTTGGTTTGGTTTTACTTCTGTACTTTTAAGTATTTGGAGGAATTCATGGATAGATTTAATGCTATAATTAGTTGGAAGATATGGGGTAATAATATCATTGAGAAATTTTGATAGCTGGTATATGCATGTTGGAATCCGAGAAATGATAGGTCGTAATGGGTATCCCGGTTTGTGTATTTTAACATTATAAGTATCCTGGTTGGTAATCTCCAGGAATTTTATCTATTTTTAGGGGTCCTGCAACAGCATTGTTGGATGTTATGAGTTTATTAACGTTATTTCTTTAGAGTTTCAGTGGTGTTCTTATACAATTTAGTAAATTTAGAACGATCATCAATGAGGTGCTGAAGTTTTCTTGTGATAATCCAATTTATCCAAAATTACATAAGTATTCGATTTATCAGCTTTTCTGATTACTATATTAGGGTTGTTTCTTAATTATTTAGCAGCAATTTTGACTTTTGTTGGATCGTTCTTATTTCTGTTACGTGGAATATGATCTTTTAGACCTTCTACCTTGAGAAGAACTCTGAGGTTTCGATGAAGTATTATTAATTTGTCCTTTTCCAGTTGACATAATGACTGGTGTAAGGTTCCACTGTCAGTCTTCTTTTATAGAAGGTCAAATTTAGGCTGGAGGCGGCAATTTGGTCATAAATTTAGGAATTCTTTCTGATCATCTGTTAATTTGTGACTGGATTGTGACACTAGTTAGCGCTGGTAAATGAAGAGAAGGATTAATGAATAGAAAGATGGATATACAGAGAGAACGCTGGTAAATAAAAATAAGTGTTAATGAATAGAAAGATGGATATACAGAGAGAACGCTGGTAAATAAAAATAAGTGTTAATGAATAGAACGATGGATATACGTGAGAAAGATTGAAGATTTTTCTTCTCAAAAAAAGTTAATTCGCAAGAAACCAGGAAAATTTTGCGTGGGCAAAATTTGAAACGATAATTCTTTTGATTAACGGCCTTAGATATAAGCCACGCCAAGCAGTCGAGAGGCATTGATTGGATAGTGGCCAAGGTGTCAAGTGTAGATGAAATATCGAAGGAGGTGAAAGAATTGTCCACATTCATTGGAAAGTGTTGGTGTGAGATGCCAATAAGAGAAGGAAGAGGTTATCAAGGTGGATCGATACTTGCGACCGCTACCCATGGGAGAGAGGGATCACCCAAATTGGGAATGTAAATAATTTTCAAAACGCAGACTGCAGAAAGTGGAACATAAGGAAAATACTGAATTCCCTAACCACGTCATGTCCCGACGCCGGTTTTAGCCGAATGTCAATAAATACGAAGGAATCGAAGCGACAAGGAAAGAATTGTTCCAGACACTGAACGAGAACGACCTCACGTGACTATCTGCCTGAAGAGAGCCCCCGACATCAGCCTTGTGCCAAACTTCACCAAGCCAGCCAACGTGTCACGACTAACTTAAGAAGTAGGTTGGGTCGATAACTGTCCGCATGCGAACTGCTAGATTTTAACAACGAAACTAACCAAGTATTGTACGAAGCAACGTATATAAAAAAAACAAAAAACATTTATTTTTTTTTTATATTCAAGTTATTTCTTTACTTGCGTCTTCATTCCACTTAGACCAGCCCAATACGAAGATACCCGACGACAATTCGATCCTTGCCGGCCTTGCACAATTTATACCAAGGAAATACCATCTATGAACATGACACAATATGTTGACAGAGTTTTTAAAATAAAACATTCTATAACACTAAATACATACATACAACAATATATTTCCAGTTAACAGTTAATATATTTCATCCTTGAAAATGGCTAAATGTATAGCCGAAAGCGCTCGGAAAAATATAACATTTGGACAGTTTTTGTATAGCTTATCTAGTGAAAAGAAAAAAAAGTTATAAGATCATAGGAGAAATTATATAAAAAACTTAATCAAAGCACCTTGTCTGTCATATTTAATGAAGCTTGCATATATATATATATATATATATATATATATATATATATATATATATATATATATATATATATATTCAAACAGGTTTGGTTAAATAATTTAGACATATCATATTTTCACTATTCATATGCAGGATATTTTACGTTTTGATGTGCATAAAGCGGCATGTACACTGCATGTCCCTCTTACGATGTGGTAACAGTTTTATGAATTTTACCGAATTTCCCATGCCTTACCTTGAAACGTTAAGATTTAATTAAAATTTATAACAGAATATGCTCGAGATTTACAAAGAGAAATGTTTTTGAAGAAATTTGAAATCGGTTTAATTGTAATTTCGATACGGGTATAATAATGATCATCATTTGGACTCTTTAAAGAACCCAATGCAGAATACACACTCTTGCAGGTTAGACAAAATTCGTAGTGAAATTCCCTAAAAGTGAAAACCAATATAAACATAGACACATTATTATCTTTAGATATAAAAGAATAAATCATTTATATCACGGAAACATTTGTATCTTTCAAGGCCCAAATTAAAGACAATCTCTTAACATTTTTAACAATGACATTCTCTTACGTACATGTCTATACTACTTAAAGGGGCAGGAATTTGATTGATATATGATCCTTATCTTCCGGAGATCAGGCGTGTCAATTATATTTTCCCTTTCTTTTGCTCATTGCGAGGTTAAACAAAACAAAGTGTTTTTTTTATAAACAAATTATTTTCTCCTTTCATTCTATTTTCGTGTTCATCCAATGTGTCAATTTGTGCATTTTATTTTCTTCCTTTCCCTCGACCCACGGCACTGTTAAAAATTAAATAAATCTCTTTTTTTTTTCTTTTATTTCTTTTCTTTTGTCACATTTTTCTCTCTACATATTCGTCTTCGTTTTCATTGTTTTCTCTTACTTCCCAACGAACTCTTCTTGACTCACTTATAGGATGTGCATGGCATGGCAAGTCTTAGTCACGAAGATTAGAACTGGCGTAACGATGGAATGTAGTAGCGAGAAGCTTGCATCGTTTCATCTGTAGGACGGAAAATAATTCATCACCCACAAGTTTACGGAGACTGAGAAGCTCCTGCCCATATATGCCAGTAATAATCCATTTCAAGCTTGATCTAGAACTTGTAAAGTTTGTCGTTGGTGGATAATGCGTTTCCCAACTTGTTGCGGGAGTTAGTAATGTCTGAAATTGATAATAACACGCTGTCTCCTGAAATACCAACAACTAAAATGGAGGACTCAGTACGTGAATCCACGTGGATAAATTAAAATAAACAAGAACCAATATATGTACAAACAAATGATAATGTATTAACAAGAAAGTTATACAAGTGACAAAGACAATGATGTGAAAAAAATGTGAAAACCTTTTTGGTTAAAAGTATGTGAAGTGTGTGAATCTAGGTACGTACATGTGTTGTGTGTGTGGTTTGTTTCTCTCCTCGTGCGCTGAAAAGGAAAGGTATCGGAAGTGTATTTGAGATGCGTGTTTAATTACTCCGACGAAAAATGTGCTGTCATCAGGCTGCTGTATTATTTTTTCTAGCGGGTTAGAGTCATAGCACGTCCTAGACGATGCATCGGTAGTTAAAATTTGTCTTTTTTCAATACTCCACGTTGAATTGGTTCTGTTGTCCTCTGTGTGCTATGCGTTGATGATGTTGGCGCACAAAATTTAATAAAAGCAGCGTTGTGGAAAAGTTGAGCTGATGTAGAATTTCTACCGACTGTCGAATGCATGTTTGAGAACTTTTTTAAAATTGCTATTATTGTCAATTCTATATTGTACTTGCAAATTCTTAGTATTGTTCGAGTGACATAGTCGCAGAGTGAAAAAAGGACAGTGAGTCACCTTTTAGGTGTGTCACACTATATCTGATGAGCCCAAAAGAAACAATGTTGAATAAAGTTGAATACAGTTCCGTAGAAAATAACCAATGCTATAGTACAAATTGTTTAACGTCAGAACGAATAGCTGGCCACAAAAATTAACCAATAAACGGCAGAAGATGGTTGTCATCAGGACGAATAGCTGGCAGTATCTTCTTACGAAACATGGCATCCGATAAGTTTTGAAATAGGAACGGCGGAACGAGAAAAAACCCACTTCTCCTCCTCTGTCAATCCCTCCGAAAGGACCCGGAAAGAGAACCCCAAATGATTTTCTAAAGCATGGGACACCCAGTGAGGATTGAACTCTCTACTCAGTTGTGATGGTTCTAGCGAGACATGTTTTCGCGTGGATGTGCCCTTACTCCTCCTCGTCCTTGGGGCAGCGAAAAATCACTGATTTTATCGTAAGAGGCTTGTTGCAACAGACTCGAAATTTCATAATTGCTTTATAGTTAATAATTAATATATTGAGTTGCTAGAATTCACTAATAATGTTATGTATTATTCAAAAAGAGTATTTAGACTGTGTCTCAATAATCCAACATCGAAGAAAAAATGTAGTTGATCAGTAAATCTAAATAAACTCGTTACATCGCATAGAAAAAAAAAGTCAGTTACCCTACGAAGGAAGGGAAAGGTCACGAAATATATTCCGTCTACGATGATAACGGGAACGGAGTGAGGCTACGATAAAATAAAAGATAGCAGGAGGAGTTAGGTGCTCACTAGCGATAGAGGGAACATACCATTTTTCCAGCATCTTTAGTGATGGGTCGTATGTCTGAGTTGATATCTCAATATGTGCCCAAAGCATGGGGCCTCCCTCAGAGATCACCCATATATCTTGATAACTATTTGAAACGATGAAAGTTTAGTAATAAAAGAATGAACCAACTTTCTTATTTGTAAAAATTATATCTTATTTGTCAAAAATTACGGTTTAATTATCAGTTTAATCCTTTCAATTGTGCAGTGCTGTAGTCTGCTTTACTATGTTCGATTTGTAAGTTACTGGGGGGGGGGGGTCAGTCTTATTCATAACATATTGCAACAACAACAGCCATACTCTGGACTGGTCACTAGTGGACCGTTTAACAATTAAATCAGGGAACTTTGGCATCGGGCTTACAGATTAAGTTAGTTTCCAACTCTTCCATTAGATCGTTGGTCAGTCAGGAAATGAAAACTTAAGTTGGAAAAAATTCCTTTATTTTACCAAATTCTTCTCAGCAGTGGTTGGTGGAATAGGTGACTACATTTTGTCCTCCGCTCCATTGTGACTGACCCTGTATTTATGGGGGAATACATTTATTTCAAATGACCAGTGGTATAGTAACAGGATCAGTAGATGGGTTTTGATGATTTCATTCTGGTGTGTCAAGTGAATTCTTAATATCAAGAGACAATCAAGGTAGAATAGTATGAAATAATAAAAATAACAAAAATTAATACTGAATTTCGGCCAAAGCTGGTTTAATTTTTATTCTACTAACCGTGAGTAGAAGAGTAGTTTGTGGGCGTTTCTTGTTTCTCCTAATCCTATTGGTTAAAAAGGTTAATAAGATGCTAATTTAAATTAATATTAAATGTTCATTTCTCCAACAGCCCACTAGAAAAACAAGAAACTAGGCTCCTTCTGGCATGCATCCAAATTACTAGCTAAGTTATCAAAGTTTTCACATCAACTTCTCATTCCAAATGACCCCCAGGTATATAACCTTTAACAGTTACTGGTGTAAATTTGACATTATTTTGTTCCGTTTTCTTTCTGTCCGTCTTTTTTCTTTATCCATGAATTTTATATATATATATATATATATATATAAATAAAAAAGAAAAAAACACACACACACCTTCCTTTCAGTTTATTGATTGTTGCAATAATAGTTTCTGCTTGTCAGTCTTTAATTTTAGAAGCAATCTTCCTTCTATCTTTGTTACAAAAATATGAAGATGACATTTGCTCAAGTTGGTAGTGATAAAAAAAAAAAAAAAAAACAACTTTCATTTTTATCGTTAGATAATACTCAAAGGAACTGAATGATGTTTTGGTAGCTATAAAGCTGTATGGAATGTACCCAATAAGCGAATTACTGAGGTAGGACACTCAAATGCATTAAATTGCTAATGGTACATATGACAAGTTTTTTGGGGTGTTTTTTTTTTTTAATTCAAACAAAGGATGTTGACATTTCTCAGCTAATCTGATTCAATATAAAAGGAGCTTTGAATTTGCCATCACATTCTTGATACAATGGCTTAGAACACACCTAAAATGGGCCATAGATGATTTGGGTCTGATGTCTTTTTATGACTGCATAGACATTAAAATCTATGTGAAATCTTCAAAGCAACTACCCACAAGCCTGAAAAAAAGGAAATACTTTCAGGATCAGCCAGAAGAGAGGAAATTATGTCTATGCACATATAGTCAAGCAGTCATTAGTGGAGATGGTTAGAGTGAGTAGAGAAAGAAGCTGG